ATATGCGAGTAAAGGCAGGTGAGCGAATACTTTTGGCAATATAGTGTATTTGACAGGCAGTCTAATTTGACAGTTGCTATTATTCATTTCCAAAGGCAATTGAGTGAACATTCATTTAAAAATATTTTTAAGGTGGCTAACTGAAATCAATATGTAAAATTCAGTCTCATCCTGGTTTTTTTAACTACCGTAATATTAATAAAATATATGTGAACCCAGCCTTGTGACTGGATTCACATATTGTAACAAATGTGAAGTAGTTTTCTGGTCTATCAACCATAATGCAGCACTGATTGTCAACAGCGAACATTTTTTAAACTAAAAAATAAGAAGCAAAATAAGCCAATTATAATTTCACTAGATTTCATATTATCTCTTTCATTAACTCCAAAACACAGAAGGCCATTAACATCCAATGGTGTTTCCAGGGACACCAAAACCAGGTGTGCAAGTTGTATGCCGCAGAAAGGAACCATGACTCACAGGAATGCCAAATGATGGGAATGGTTATTAGCTCAGGGCTGCACTGCAAAGCACCAGATTAGAGGAAGAAACCTATCCAGTTATTATTCCATGTGTCTGTGCATGTGCTGTAGAGGAAGAAAAAGGAGAACGGAGCATCGGGAAGCAACAGTTACCACATGAGATGATCCTCTGGAAGCAAATATTGTTCTCCATTATGACCACCATGTTCTCTGTAATTCCTGGAAGGTTATTTTGAAAGAAATGCAATGAAAAGGATGAATATTTGTGACATGGATCATCAATTAAATGAAACCTCCACATGCATGTTGCCCTCTGATGTGTACTGAAATCCAATTTTGTAGAGGTCGTATAAGTAAATATGGCAATAATGCTGAAATAAAGATACTTAACACATACTTAAAATTATTTCTGTCTGAGGATTCATTCTTCAAACTTAGACTTAGAATAACTTTATTGTCACTTTGAATGTACACTAATCAGCATGCATTAAAATGAAATTTCATTGCATACAGCCAGGGGTGGGCTTCAAAAATTGCAGCAACGGGTTCGCTGCCTGATTGCTGGGTGGGCGTGACCATGATGGCTGTCGGCCTCCTGCACCATGGCAGGGGGGCGTTTTTTGCCCTCCCCAGGCTCTGGAGGCTTTCCTTGAACTGCTTCTCCCAGGCTCTGGAGGCCCTCTGGAGGCTGGAGACAGGTTTGTTTCCGGAGTTCTGGAACCTCTGGTAGATGTGTTCCCCCCCCACTCCCTGAGCCTCTGCGCGGGCCCTGCACCTACCTGCTTACCTGGCATGATGAATGGGCAGCGTGGAGACTCCTGGGACGGGAGGGGGGTGGCAGGGTGGGCATGGCCAGCCAGGGATGGCATTTGGGGGTTCACCGAACTGGACAGAATCCTAGCTAGAGGATCGCCTGAACCTGTATGAACCCCCAGCAGCCCACCCCTGCATATAGCTCTCAAAGAGTCACCACCTCCAATATACATTATATAAACATGGCATACAAAATACAAAATTATGTCATATTATATGACACAGAGTAACCAGTCTAGTTTGGAATGATATGGCTTTAATATCCAGGGATTCTATCTACCATAGGATCCAGATTCTACCATAACATTTTAAGCCACCTATTTAAACTAGCATTTCTCAATCTCAGCCACCCCTTTTGAGATGAGTGGACTTCAACTCCTAGAATTCCCCACTAAATAGTTTGAGAGGCTCCCCAAAACCCTTCCTGCTTAACTGTAAGGAAGAAAGGATATTATAATCTATCTTTAGCCCTCTGATCAAAAGGGGCCAAGCAAGCCCCTTTGATTTGAATCCAGGTTCTTTAGCTTTTTGTGAAACCGTGATTCTGAAGCCAGTGTCCCGCCAAATACGATATGTGTAGAAGCCCCTTTACAATCCCAGTCCCCGTGTGTTCCCTGCTACAAAGTGATCGCCGTCTGCCTCAGGCTATGGATAATGGGATTTGAAGTCCATGAGACTTTTCTTGAGCGGCGGGACACCCACCGAAGTGCGTTAATTTATAGTCGCTGGCCACAGGCGGCTTGCGGGTAAACAGTCCGTCTTAAAACCGGTGTGTTGTTGCTTTCCGAGTCACCGCTGGGGGCGCTCGCACGCCGAGCGGTGTCGCTTTCGCCTCTTTTCTCTCCGCTTCGGGCGGGGATGGCACCGGGAGGTGGAGTTGCTGGGGGACGGGGACGACCGCGAAGTTAATTATCATATCTGCCAGTTTAAAGAAGGGGGTTGTACTTGGAGAGCGCACAGTGGAAAAAGGACCTGACGAAATAAAAGTAGCGATACAACCAAACTCGATCCCACAGTACCGGTGGCGGCGCTAGCAGCGGCAAAGCGCAGCTTCGGCATATTTTGGGAGTTTGAGCTCGGCTTGCGGGCGAGGTCCTCCTGGACGCTCGCCCTTCTCTCTGCCCGCCCCCCACAACTCAATTCATTAAGCACACCAGCCTCCTGGCTGAGAAGGACTAAGCTAGTAAACCGAGCTCTGGGTCGCCGGTCGGGAATAGCCGGATCACAGAACACGCTGTGTGTGTGTGTGTGTGTGCAAAACTTTTTTTTCCCCTTCCCAACTTTTGGAAACTCATCCTTTCCCAGGAGTTTTCATTAGTCTTCATCAGGACTTCATAACGATCGAGAGGAGAAGAAGGGAGACCTTTCTGCGGTCTGAAAACTTAATTCTAAGCGGCAAGTCGACCCAAACAAAGCTTGCGACCCCCTCGACCATCGCCTTCTCTTCCTCCTCCTCCAGCAAGCGAAGATCCGGACGCGAAAAGCCAGCTAGCAGCATCGTTTTCAGCGCCTGGATTTTCTGCTTCCCCCCCGTGTGCCTCCCCTCTCCATCAGGTCGCCCGGAGACATTCCTTGCTTGGAAAGGCGATTTCGGTTTCCCCTGCCCACCAAAACATGCAGAATTACAAGTACGACAAGGCGATCGTTCCGGAGAGCAAGAACGGGGGCAGCACTGCCTTGAATAACAATCCGACCAAAAGCTCCAGCAAGAAAGCTTTGTTGGTTTGTCTCGACCTCTTCTGCCTCTTCATGGGTGAGATTTGAACCGAGTGGATCCTTTCTCCTGATTTAATTCTCTTTATCTCTTTCCCGGATATCTCTTTTTTTTTTAAAAAAAAAGCGGGGGCAATCCCAAACTTCCAGCGTCGGTCGTTTGCACAAACTTTTCTCCTCCTTTTCTACAACCTCCTTGTGAATACTAACCAATTCTCCCGTTCTCACTCTCCGATCGTTCTGCCTTTTATTTTTTTTGCAAACTTTCCTTCCAACCCCATTTCCTGCACTTTTGATGGCCTGAACTTTCTCGCGCTGATTTTCTGCAAGGATGTCGTTGTTTGGGGCTTGTTTGCACCCTTTCTCACATGAGAGGCTCCGCGGGTGGGTGGGTGGAAGATTTCAAACTCCATTGTCTTGTCTCAGGTGACTGTGTAAATTATTGGCCCAAGCCCTTCTTCGATTTGAGGCACAAGTCCTCACTTTGCCCTTTCCCCCTTAATGGGCTTGATTTTACTGTAGGAAAGCACCTAGCTCCGAGACTCGAAATAAAAATGGATGTCCTACCACTGAGCTGAGCCTCGTGTAAACAAAGCATCACTTCCCGACTCGCAACTTTAAAGGCAACTGAGCAAAATGAGGCGCAGTTTCTGTGGGCTAAATTCATTTAGTTGCTCCTAATTGAGCTTCTAAAGTTTTATGGCGCTCTTCGTGTGTTCCAGGTCTGAAGAGAGAGGGAGAGAGTGTGTTAAGGAAGGATCCTATTTGCAGGCAGAGTAACAAACTCGGAAAAGGTTGTTAAAGGGGTTAGGAGGGTTTAGGGGGTGGGGTACATACGCGCGCGCACGCACGCACACACACACACACACACACAGACACACCAACCATCATAAATCTTCACAGAATGGCAGTGCAACAAAGCCATAGTAATTGGTGAGCTTGAAAGTTTGTTTTGTGGACTTCTGAGGGAATTGAGCACTTTGAAGTCAGCAATATCACTTTTAAATAAGAGTTGTCTTCTGCAACATGTGGGAAGGGGCTAACCCTAAATAATTCCCTCCACCCTGCAAAGCTCCACTGTTTTAAGCAACTGTGTGACATGCCACAAAGCCTGCTTTTGTGTACCTAAAAGTTACACTTTTAGACACAGACAACATTTTGGATGCTCATAGTAGGGCTTATGCTTTATTTGTGGTGACTTCAGTTTTCATGAATGACAGCCAAGTTGTAAATGCACATAAATGCAAAGGAGAGGATGATACTTGCACAGTATATTAGCAGATGTTTAGGGATGTTTAGAAATTCTGTCTGTCCCTGGTAAACATTGATCCTCTTCATTAACACTGCAAACTATCCAGGATTGAAAGGTGCATCTAACATCTTGACTAAAAAGATAATTAAAGGTAATTCTGCTGATGCTGCAGAGAAATTGAACAGATGGCCATGAATGCTATATGACACTAGTACTCCACTGTTTGTTCAAATAACCCAGTGTGGAAAAGAACAAGAATGAACTCCAAATTTGTTATGATAACATGATCTAAAAGATTGTTCCTTTCAACCTCCTTCAACATCTCCATTTCTAATATATTAGATGTATGGGCAACTTCTTCATTTTGCAGCATGCTGGTAGAAGGGATTTTACAGCTAGTAAAATAATCAAGTTTGTACTGAAATGGGATTATATTAAGATTATTTCTGAGTTTATCCATTTATCAATGAGTAACTAACCTTGCCTCTTTCCCCAAAAAACTTTATTAAATTTCAAAAAAGTGTAAAATATAAAACAAAGAAAAAGGTTAAAAAAAAGGGAAAGGGTTGGGGAGAAATTAAAAGTATGCTATGATCAACTACATGATTTGCATACATATTCTTATGTTGAAACTAATACACAGACCATAGAAAATCTAGTCATTTATGCTAATTAAGAATCTGGCTTTGTTGATCACAGCTGTCCAGCTTACAGTATGATGGATTTATAATGATGTACATATATCAGATGGTTGAACAATTAAACCTTAATTGGAGAATACTCATATTTTGGTGTCCTATGACTTGACATCTTTTAAATGGGATAAGAAAATGATTCTAGAATTTCTAGTCATTGTGATTGGAATTTCTAGGATTTGAAAAGCCAGACCAACCAATTTTTGGGAAATAAATGAAATTGGTCAATTGGAAATTAACATTGTTAAGACTCACTCAAAATATTGCACTTTAATAAAACTTGCACAAATGTGATCTTATTCTGTGCAATTAGGACAGTATATCATATTGTTAAGCATATTATAATCAACATTAAATAAGAAGTAATATATCTTAACAATCTTCGTGATTGGTGTTTATATTCCTAAATGCAAAGTTAATTCTGTGGTAAGCAAATCAATGGCCATCTGCTCCTGTATCACTCAAGTAATTATAAGGAATTCTGAACATAAACACCTTTTTTAATTCAAATGATGTTTTCTCATTAACTTCAGAAAATACAGACACTCTTAGACTTCTGACATACAAAAAATGGTGACATTTTGAAGCAAAGAGATTATTTAATAGTATGTTTATACATGTAATTCTTAGTCTCTTTACGGGCTAAACAAATCTCAGACTTATTTTCCTCTTAGAGTTTTTACATTATTTCCCCCTCATCTGTCTTATGTATAATAATCTATGGAGGCTAATGCAAATAGGAAAAAGAACATATCTGTAAATGAAGACTAAGAGTGCTGCTATGGTCTATTGAATAAGGTGCAATTAAAGGTCTGATTCTATTTCTTAAACCTAAAATAGGCATATATTTTGGTATTGCAGCTTCCACTGTATTCCCTAGCTATTGATACAGGATGCAAATTGATTTTGGCTACTGGGATGCACAATTTCCTGTCAGGGTAACATTCCTTGAAAAAGTCACAGATCCATGATGCCACCCTTTGTATCTCATGAAAGGCACTTTATATAACTTAATAAAATGTTTTGTAATGAAACAAATCTAGAATAGCATTTATTATGGCACATAATAAATATTTATTAATATTTCTTACTAATGTATTAATATTTTATTAATATTATTATAATACATGTTTTATTAATATTTATTTAGACAATATTTTCTTATGTCATTCTGCTATTGCACTCTTCCAACCAGGGAGATTAGAGGCTGATTCTCTCCAGATAAGTTGGGTTTCTGACTTGGAATTGTGAGGGTTGTGGGCACCCTATTATTATTCTTGAACAAATGTCAGATTCAGTAATGTGATACGCAGAAATCCTTCTACAAATGATTGCTCAACTCACTGGTCTGTACACTTTTCACCACGTTAACATTAGTTACAATCCTTTTATGTTTTGCACACTGAGATTGCTAAGCAGGTAAACATGCACTTATATTTCTGAAAACTGAAAAACAGTGAATCCTTGCTTTTAACATACTCCTGGACAAATGTTAAATAGAAAAACATATCATCAGGGTGCCTTATATCATTTGAGCAGTTAAGTCATTATACAGATTTGTCATAAAATTAAGCTAGATGTAGCTGCCCTGTGAAATACTTTTCACTCTAACCATAGTTTGCTGCCATAACACTTCCTTCATCACACTAACATGGTTCATACATTATTTAACTTTACCTTGGCATGTTCTGAGAACCCAGCTGTTACAGATTGTAAATTGTAGTCTAATTAACATATATGAACCTAGCCACTTATGATTTATTTCAGTCCTTCCTAGGAATAATTCCCATTGAATCCCTGATAGTTTCCTTATGAATGAAGTTAGGCTGTCATTTTAAGCACACAGTACAGGACAGCTTCTCTGCCTTAGAAGAGACACTTGAAGTGGTATCTCTTTGGCCAATAAATCAACACTTGTTTAAGAACAGTAATTATCTGCACAGTATTCTCTAATGAAGCCTCCAGTAGACACTGTATTATCATTTGCATATTCCCTAAGGTATTTCTTAAAAAAATGGCTTAGCTATTGAAAAATGTAGCAGTTAATAATTTTTATCCTGATGTTAGGGTAACACTAACTGCTTTACTTATTTCTCCATATTTCAGCAATCAGTTAGCTTTCACATAAAAATACAGTACAATAGCATGTCACTTTAATAACCACATTCATATCATAGATGGTCTCTGCTTTGAGCATATTTTTCATCATTCTGACAGTTTGACCTAATTTCTGAGGACCTCTGTTCATCTGGTTACTATTATTGGGGGCTAATATATTAAGCAAAGATAATAGATTCTGCCCCCTCTTTCTTTCTTTCTTTCTTTCTTTCTTTCTTTCTTTCTTTCTTTCTTTCTTTCTTTCTTTCTTTCTTTCTTTTTTTGTTATCCTAAAATATAGACCATGGATCTGTAAGAAATAAACTCAACATATTTTTTTAAGTAGAAACATACAAATACTATACATTAATCAGCTTTTCTAAACTGAAAATTAAACTCCCTGATAGGTGTTTCACTTTTATCAGCATTTAGAACATTTATATTGTAGAAAATGTGATCCTAAATTCACTTATCGGAATAATTCTCATTGAACCAATTATTTTACTTGTGAATAAATGTTCATGAGGTTGACTTATCAATATACTAAGAAGTCCATTTTAATTCTTGAAGATCCTTATTAGCCAGCAAATAGATGCTCCATTAAATACATTGGAGTTTGTAAATAGACATAGATAAGATTATTTTGGGTTTTTCTTTTTTTAGTTTTATGCTGCCTTTATTATTTTTATAAATAACTCAAAGATGGCAAACATATCTAATGCTCCTTCCTTCAATAGTTTCCCCATTGACTCAGCCTTCCATCCTTCCGAATGGGTAAAATGAGGACCCAAATTGTTAGGGGCAATATTCTGAATCTGTAAACCTCTTAGAGAAGGCTATAAAGCACTGTGAAGCAGTATATAATGAGTGCTATTGCTATTACAACAACACTGTGAAATGAGATGGACTAAGTGAGAGTGACTATCCCAAAACCACCTAGTTGGCTTTCATGCCTAACATGGGACTAGAAATCACAGTCTCCTGGTTTCTAGCCTG